AGAAGTTTTTATCAATCAAATCATTTGATCAAAGTAGAAGTCGAGCGTACCACAACACAAAATTTGTCTTAATTTCTTCTCAACTTTTTAGGAGCTAGCAGTACTTCTCTATACATGCAAGTATAATAATGACTTTTCTCTCTTTAATCAATCAATGAGACACAATTTCTTTGTTAAAGAAGTCATTTCGATGAAGTAAACATATTTTTATTTGTTGGTAGGTGATTTTGAGATGTTTTGTCTTATTAGTATAGGAACATACTTTGTTTTAAAAAGAATTATGTGAGGAAAATTATATCTTGAAGTATCTATTTTGGGTCTTTTCTATTTGATCAAGGAATAAATTAAAATTTGTTTTGTTTTTCTTTATATATTAAAAAAAAACTTTTAAATAACTCAAGAGTGACGAAATATTAAATATAATTAATATCTGGGAATTAAAGACACTTGATTAGCCAATGGGAGGATTGGAAAGGATTATATCACTTGAAAGAAATATAGAATATTAATTCCTCCTTAAATAGGAAAATAATTCTATACTATGAATATTTATTTTAAATTCAGTTACATATGTTCATTTAAAAAAAGAACTGTTAACATAAATAAATTAAACAATTGTGCTATTTTTCTTTGATTCTTAGTGTCTTCTATATGTTAAAATTTATACTTAATTAGCTGATAAATATAGTGAATCACATTGTATACTGTGTATAAAATCTACGATATGTGAACTTGAGTAGCTCTATATGTGTATGTATTTAAGAAATTCCTGTGTATTTGGAAGTTAGTGGTATACATTTTGTTCAAAGAAGGGGTTTATTAGCGGATTGAGTTTGACGAGAGGGAGTTGCTTGGATGGTAAGCACCCCTCACTTCCAACCCGAAGGTTGCGAGTTTGAGTCACCAAGGGAGCAAAAGGGATGGGAGCTCCTAAGGAGGGAAAAAAAATTATTAGCGGATTGAGCATCGATAATCGAATTCTTGTCTTGTACTCTTGCCGATTTAAACAAGTTTATCTTGACTGTAAAATTTTCATATATTTTGAATTGTCAATTATTGTGACTTATAGTACTTTTTAAATAATTTATAAATATATAAATTTCATTTCAAAAAATATGATTTCATACACAAATTCCCGTGAAACTTAAACTATTTGACTCTCAAAAATCGAAAAATGTAACACAAATTGGGGCAGAGGGAGTATTATTGATATGTATTTCGTATTTAAATGTTGATTTGAACTTATAACAAATTTAACGTTCTTATTTGTTGGACAGATTTGAGCAAGGATGACAAGTGGCTAGCTATCTTTTCTAATAACACGTGGAATTTGGCATTTAAGGTGAAGTTTGAAGGAAAAATTACTTGAATGGATACCTTTTAGTAAATAATTACTGATTTAATGATATTTTATTTATTTATTTATTTTTATTTATAGCAAAATATAACAATACTATGATAAATCTGCAATATGTATTAAAAGTGTATTAAGTATGCAATATATATGCATTGTAACTGTTTTAAAATATATTATGCTTGTTTGGTAAGAAATTGACACATTGTATTATAAGTGTATTAAAATGTGTGATAAATGTATTATCCATCAATAAGACTTGTATTATATGTTTTTTATAAATTATTTTCTGTAATATGTATTAAAACTGTATTGTAAATGTATTAAAAATGATCAAGTGAAAAAAATATTATTTTTATAAATGATAAATATTTTCTTAATATAATATATTTATGTAAGTTTCCAAAAATTGGAAGCATGAGAATCATCTATTTTAAGTAACTTATTTGACATCTAGGTTAATGAATGTTTGATTTCATAAATTTATCCGTATAGAATATTTATATATAAATAAAATGCTATGCGTTTGTACATATATCCTTCTATCACTTAGTTATGAATAATTAATGCATAATTTTATTATATCAAATCACTTAATCTAAGTATTTGGATTCGGCTCTCCTCCATTATCTCTTTTATTTATTTCGTTAAGTGCACGTCTAGATTAGAGACATGTGTCATATTTAAAGTTTAAAGGTCAAGATTATATTATATTAACAAATATCATAACCATAGTTAAGTCAACTAAGTTTAGAAAACTACTCTCCAAATTTGGTAAGAATTACAATATATTCCATATAAAATTTGATATTTATTAATATCATTAATTTAATATTATATTTTTAATTTACATTTAAATATTAAAATTGTAGAACATGAAATATTTATATTTAATGTGATAAATAATAATCTTCAAAAACATTTGCATTTAAAACAATGTTATCTTCTATTTCACAAAAAACAAGAAGATAAAAGAATATTTCTTAAAAAAAACATATATTTTTTCCACTTCAAACACAATAGCCACATTTTCTCCTTGGAATAATTTTTGTATTTCACGTTTAATTCTAAAAACCGTTCATCTTTTTATTTTAATTTTAATTTCGTCTTTTATTTTATGGTTTTTTTCCACACTGATAATTCTTAACCTTTTTGTTTTGTTTCTCAACATAGTATATATAATATTTCAAGAGCAAAGTTTACTGTTACATAAATTGTTTAGTTGATTCTCACCTTAAATATCATATAATTTAATATTTAAATACAAAAATATAATATGAAATTAATGATATTAATAAATATCAACTTTTGTATAGAATATATTGTAATTTTTATCAAATTTGAAGAGTAGATTTCTAAAATTAGTTGACATCTACATTAATGAATGTTTGATTTCATAAATTTATCGAATATTTATATTTATATATAAATAAAATGCTATGCATTTGTACATATATCCTTCTATCACTTAGTTATGAATAATTAATGCATAATTTTATTATATCAAATCACTTAATCTATGTATTTACTATTTACCCCTTGTAATCTTCTTCTTATTTTTCGTTTCCCTCTCCTTTATATATTAATGTCAAATCTTACTTTCTTCGATTTCATATTATTTGACATGGGTTGATTTGATATACTCTTTAAGTAAACTTTAATTATAGATATATTTTACTAAATTGATCTCAATAATAATATTTTGAAATTTTGAAATTTGATTATTTTTACTATTTTATATAATTATTTAATATTAGGAGTAATATAAAAAAATATATTATAGTTCACTAAAATGAATAAATCTATTTTTGATATACTCTAATGTCAAGTAAAGTGAGATGGAGGGACCAATAAGAGTTGTGGTGAAGTGGTAAATACCCCTTCATTGTTAATCAAGATGTCTCGGGTTCAAACCCCTTGATTATGGAGTCGCCTTTGTTAGAGAATCAAAGCACTTTATTCTCAATGTGGAATTTCCCGGCTCGAATCCAGATTTAATCGGGATAACATGGGACTGGGGTGGAAAAAAAAAGTGAGACGGAGGGAGTAAAAAAGGGCTCAACTGTGAGCCGTCAGATATAGATAGACTCGTGGCTAACTAAAGAATCGAATTGAAAACGAATACGGGTAAAACCGGCGGAGCAGGAAATTAATCCGTTTGAAAGCCAAGCCCCCTTCCAATGAAAATTGAAAACCAGAAACTTCAATGGAGAAGAAGCAAAGCAGTAGGGGCAGAGAAGATCAGAGACGTAAAAGAAAATGCAGAGTTTAATTTTCTGAATCAATTTTTCACTTTCCTTCGTAAGTGTTTTTGCCTCGAATATGTTGATTTTTTCCTCCAATTTTTGTGTGCAAATAAAGTCTTTATTAGATATAGTGAGAATCATGTAAAACTACAATTTATTTGATGATATTCATATATTTTGCGCAAGTTTTGACCATCATGAGAGGAATCGAGTAACTTCAAGTCGCTGATTTTGGTTTAGTAACTAAATTATGTAATAGTTACTGAATAAGTTGGGATGATTTTGTGTAATAGTCGTTAAATACTTAGCATTGCGCCATAAGCTGAATTTCTAAAAATATGGCTTCAATTGCTGAAGGAATTAGAAATAAGTTGGGATAATTTTGTTTAATAGTCTTTAAATGAATGCTACTACTAATTCTGATTCTGATGATGCATGGAGATAATTAACATAGTAAGTCTCCCAAGTTATCTGATTAACAGAGGTGACAGATTGCACTTTGCAGCCATTTAGTGCAATAAGAAATCAATTCTATGTAAAATAACCAACTTAATTATAGAAATTGAGATGCATTTGCCTTCCTTGGTTTGCGATAACTAGGAATATCAATAGGGAGGCTCGGGGCAGGACAGGACAGGGCATTGTAGGGTTAGATGAACTACATGCCTCACTAGTTAAACTATCAGTTGGTAAGTTACAAAAAGTTGTACGTCGACAAAAGGTGATGCCTAGTCTATCTGCTTCAACCATTGATTCAGCAAAAAGAGGTGGGCTATCAAAAAGTGTCATAGCAGTCAATGTTTTGTTTGCTCCATATTTAGCTACACTATCTGCTGCCTTGTGCTGCTCCCTGTATATGTGAGTGACGACTGGATCATGTAACTGTCGGAGTACGGACCTGCAGTCAGACAAAATATTAGCATATTTTGCCTTGGATGATGAGAGCAAGGTGATCACCTCTTGTGCGTCAATTTCCACTTGAAGTGGATGTAGATTCATATGCATATAAGCATAGTCTGGACCCTTTAGTTCAGCTTCAGTGATTGTAGTATTGGGAATATGCATACAATAGCCTAGTATCCAATGACCATCAGAGTTCCTGAAAACCCCTCCTATGCTGCTGTCTCCATTACCCGAACTAATGCGTCACTACTGTATTAAGTATGAGCGAGAGAGATATACTTTTTGTCTTTTTGGTCTTCCAAATACTCCTCCCGTTCACTTTTACTTCTCCACTTTGGATTTACACGCCAAACCCCTTAAGAAACAATTATTTATATGAGTATCTTACTATAATACCCTTATTAATTGATGTTTAGTATTAGGTCTTGAAAAATGATTCGGCAAATAAGTAATTAATGCTAAGGGTAAAACATAGAAAAAAATAATTATCTTTTCTTGATATGTTAAAAGTAAAATTTATTCTTAGGAATAGTGGACAAGTAAAAGTGAACGGAGGGAGTATAAAATGATACAACACAAACTTAGTTTCTATGTTGTTTTGGCTTTTGCGAGTGCTTACTTTTGGAATTAGTAGCAGGGAAAATTTACAATATTTTTATTTCAATATTTTTGTAATTGAAATAATTTGATTTCAAGTAATAGTAAAACAGTTGTCCCATATTGATCTTATTTAAATAAAAAAGAAGTTATTGATATTCCTTTAGTATGAAATCTTATTTTAAACGTTGCCAGCACCCAACAATTGATATTTCATTAGTACGTTGACAACAACAATCCCATTGTCGACACTGAAATAAGGTTGAGAAATTTTCAATTTGCATCTGAAACCCCTTGCCCTACCACTTTCCCTGCCTTCATTATAATTTTTCGAAAATATATTTTGTCCCGCCCTGCCCTGTCCCGCACAACACTCCCTGCCCCACCCCGAATATGCCCTGCCCTATTGCCATCCCTAGCGATAATAACAAGATTGTTTGGAGAAGGTTTGAAATGAGTAAATAGTATTGGAGGTAAAACAGTTTGGGTGTCTGAACATTAGCGAGATCAAACGTGAGCATTACCAGGGTCATGGAACTTGAGTTTTGAAGCCATGCTTCCCTGTTAGCTTACAAAGGAAACTTCTGACACAGAAAACCTAAAAGAACACACACAAAATAATGATACTAATATTAATGTCAGAGCAGTTGTTATACTGGCTATTCCTGTGTTATATGTGCAGAATGTATTGTTGGAAGGTGATTTTGGCTGTATATGGTTGTGGCTGTAAATCAATATAATGTTCTTTGCTGGTCTAATTAGTTTAAGGTCATAACTAATTCTTGTGTCTATTTACCATTAAAAATTTACCTTGTGTGAGAGAACATCTTCCCAATAGGTGCGTCTACCAGTGATGAATGTGGCTCGAGTTCTAAACTTGTAGTATGACCAACATTTGGCTTAAATTGGACTTGATGTGGTGAATGTTAGAACTTCTTTCCAGTTGCTGGCTTCTATCTGCCAAGTTGTGATGTTAGCTAAGTGAGATAAATCATCGGATCCTGAAGATGCATTTTTATTTTGTTGGTGGTGCAACAAAATAAGTGGCCTTGAGGGAAACCTTGGTTAAGATGAAATGGCTGGTAAGTTTGTTCAATTTTTTTTTTTTACAGCAAGGCCTCCTAGTATGAAGGAAGAGCTCTTATTTTTTTCTCAACAAAATAAAATAAAAAGCAAAAATAAAAAAATCTCACCAGCAAAATTCGAACAAAGTACATAGAAAATCTGGCTACTGTAAAACACGGATCATACAAAATGGAGTTTGAAGAGTGTAAAAATGAGAATTCCAGTATTGCCTGCTCTGTTGTCCATGTACTATAATCATCATGTATTTATTTTTAATGTGTCTATGTACTTTGCTTCCACAATATCTTCTCCCGAAATGAAGTCAAGGAAATCACTGAAGCCTCCTTCTTTGTAGGACAAGATATTTTGTTCGTTAACAAGAGCTGATGCAGGTCTAACTTTTTTACCTAAAGTTAGACTATGAAGGCTGACAATTGAAATGCGCTTTTTTTCTGAGTTAACTGTTGCTCGGTGGACAACACTTTTGTATATCCCATTGGTCAGTACTTCCATGTGATCTCCCAGCAGAACAGTGAGAGCTCCCTCAATGAGTGGAACTGAATGCCACTTTTCATCTTGGCCCATGATTTGCAAGCCCTGGTGATTTTGTAGAATGATGGATATCATACCATAATCTGTGTGTGGTGGCAATCCTAGTGTAAGATCTGGCTCAGGACATGCTGGATAGCAATTAACTGCCATGACCTGGGAGCCTTCCGCAATGTCTTCATGTAAGTAATTAGTGTTTAGTCCTAAGCTCTCAAATATCACTTCCATGAGTCCTTCTTGCAACTTTTGTGCTGCCATAGTGTAGTTTACCATTTTCTTCCTGCATGAATAACTTCTTTAGGATCTTGAAGAAATTATATCTTTCTTGGACAGTAAGAATATGCATCTATAAAACAAACATATGTGCTAAACACATTCAACAACGACAATGAAAGACTTACTTGTAACATTTGGGATTTGATGGCCACAAGTCAATCCAAGTTGAGGTTGGATTAGCATAGTGCTTGAGGAAGTCTCTCCAAAAGTGTACTTTGTCTTTGACATGGTTTAGACTGGTACCATATCTTACGGGGTCACAAACATTCGAAGTCAAAAGATGCCTTTTATCTTGAGTTGGTAAATCAAAGAATTCACTCGCAGCATGTATGGCGTTGTCCATGACTGACAATGGGATACCATGGTTAACTACCTGCAAAGTCATTTATTGCATGCATGTTGTTATTTTACGTTCAGGGTGAATCTGTGAAGATTGTCTTATTTCTCTTCCTGTTAGACAACCTAAGTATCTCAAAATCTAGGATGTCTGTTTTAACAGATCAACTGAAAATAAAAAGGAAGAGTTGAGACAAAGGGATATGAAGCTTAGAACTCTAATGCACCATGTAGTACTTTCTATATGCCGATCTGACGACATCTTTTTCGTTACTTGGTGCATGCATATTCTTCTTATTTGGATCCCTATCTCTAGGAACTTTATGTATACTGAAGAAATAAATAAATAGCTTATTCTAGCTAGTGCGTGATTGCAGGTATCATGGACACTTCACGACAAGTAGTACCTGGAAGAAACCAAATTTCTTGCAAGCCAGGTGTACATCCTGGATTATCTGAGACCGAAGAAGAGGGTGTTGCCGATTGGATAGATCCACAATTGGCAAGCATGTGTTACACAGGGTTCCATCGGGGCGTAGGGATGGTGGAAGGACGTAACGCTTGGGAACATAGGTTAGTCCCTCTTCAATAAGTGTCATGGCACTAGTAAATGAACCATTTGCTGAAGCTGAGCTCTCTCTCATTCTTCCTACCATATTGTGTTATGTTTATGACTTTTTAACTCCCTATTTATAAGCAGGAAAATATGAAGATATGGTTGGAGCTTTAAATTATTTATCGAGTTATACATGTTAATGTAATGAATATACGTAAAATGTGATGGTACCATGACTATTATAATCAATGGAGAAATATAGAATATATAGTCATTTTACATGAAGTGCCAAAGAGTGAAACTTTTTAGGGCTTGGTAATTGGCGATTCTAATAGTTGAATCCGATAGAGTAACCGTGTTCAGATTCACGCCATGACAAAGACGGCAATTTTTTATTTTGTTGTTTATTTTAAACATTTGCTTCTTCGAATTTTTTTTCCTTCCTTATCTTTCTTTTTCACGAACCAAATTTGATTGACCGTATATATCTTTTTCGACTTCGAATTTCTTTTGTGTGTGGATAACTTTTATAAATAAATAGAGCATATTACTGTTTAGGTTTCACACTAGTTTTGTATTCTATATCGAATAAAAAAATTTAGGCCGACATTTGTTTATCTTTTTCTAGTTATTAAATAGTTTTGTATTCTATATCGAATAAAAAAATTTAGGCTGACATTTGTTTATCTTTTTGTAGTTATTAAAAATTGGTTAAGTGTAGGTCTATCTGTACGAGTGTAAGTTTAATGAAAAGTAATAATTACCATGTATTACAGAGAAAATTTCTCACATAAGAATAATTTGATAGATTGTATTATAAGTTCGTCTGTTGGTTTAATTCTCATAACAGCAAGATATTCAATATAGCTCCCCAAGTTAGGTCTGGAGAGAGTCGGAGAAAGTCGGGTGTATATAGTTTTACCTTTACTTTTGTGAGGTGGAGAGACCATTTTTGATAGATGGCTCTACGAGGGTTGGGTCCATGCAAATCTTAACCTTATCTTGTGAGGTAGAGAAACTTGAGATAGAAAGATTGCTTTTGATAGACATTGGCTTTTCAAAACACGATTGAAAAGAAATGCAAGTGTAAAAAGCTGTGATGAAAAAAAAGCTATGATGAAAATAATGAAAAGAGAGAAGTACTGAAAGAGTAAAAATATTAGAGATAACCATAGTAAAAAAACAACAATAATAATATAATAATAATCGATGAATAAGATAATAAGTAATTGTTATCCCCTCATCTTAATTGGGTTCAAATCAACGTACAACATATTGATGATTTTCAAATTAATTAATTTAAGAAATCAGCACTTAATTATTTTTATGATGGATTAGGACACCTATCTTAACTAAGTTATGCTTAAAATAAAACTCCATCTTTATGGTCTACTTAACTTAAGGTTCCATGTAAGGATTTTACTTATTTTAAAAGGGAAAGAGTTTCGCATCTTTTAAAATCTGTCAAATACGCCATCGGCCGATCTTAGATTAATTAACTGAGGCATACGATGTATGTTAAGTTCAAAAAAAAGTGCTGCCGTTGGTTAAAAAATCTATACATAAATGAGTATTGGACGATTCTAAGCAATGGACAAATGAATCATATGAAGTATATACGTCAATTGCTTTTTAACTAAGTGAATTAAAAAAGAGAGGAGTATTGAGAACACTCTGAACTTGACGTAAATTATTAGCTTTATTTTGAACTATTGACAGTTTTAAAAATACTCTGCTACTTGACTAACTAAACTTAGATATACCCCAAATTTGCCACATGACATAGCATGTGGTCTCAAACTCTTGTAAGAACATGTGACTCTTAATAAAAAACTGAGAGAAGTATTGAAAACATTCTAAACTTGACAAGAATTTAGGTAGGGTGTATCAATCATGTTGCAAGATTGGGGTGCATTTAAGTTCAATTAGTCAAGTAAATGAGTGTTTTTAAGACTGTCGATAGTTTAGGGATAAAAAATAATTCACGCCAACTAATTAAAAAATAGTCAAACTATATCATTCAAGGGTCTCTAGTGACTGTAACATGTAGTTCAAAATAAATCTTTAATTTTAATAATTGATGTGAGCCTTTATAGAATATTGAGAATTGCTGCAAAACTGACATGTCATACTTCTCCAACTAAGTTTGGAGATCTTTTCATTGAAATCCTTAGCGAAATTATTGGATATAGTCACTTTTTAATGAGAAAAAAATATGCATAAGTTATTTGCAATTGGGTAATTTACAAGATTAGATCCAATAAATTATGGTTTTGTACTTTTAATCCCATTTTAATTAAAAGATAATCTCCGCTTGAGAAAATTTGATTGGCAAAATTTCTTTGATCATCGGACATAAGTTGTAGGCATAAATTACTTTTATCTATGGAACATAATTTATGGAAGTATCGCAGAATTAGATATGTACTTTTTTTAATCTTGTTTATAAAATGACCCTGGGGTCTTATTGATTAATAAAAAAAGCTATGGACATTTCAAAATAAGTCAAATTAAAGCAGTAAATATTTGCTCAATTGGCTACAAACAGGTGTTGGTCAATTAAGTATAAGTTACAACGAACAGACAAGACTTACAAATACTATTCATTTTACTTATTTTTGTTAAATTAATCACAATTAAGTTATGATCATGTATTGACAAAAGTTTTGTTCACTACTTTTTCTCCACTTTATAAAATCATTCTTGTAATCTATCTACAAACAATATTCCACATATTTTTAGCTGAAAATGTATGCTACTAAATTATTGTTGAGACATTGCAATTTATATGCTCATATTACAGATAGGGGTATTCAAAAGCAAAATTGACAAATCGTATCAAATTTATAAATCGATTTTTTTAATACTAGTGATTTAATTGGACTTTGTTTGATATTGAGAAAGAAAACCCAAAGTCAAGCTCAAACCAATCCAATTCGATAATATATTTATACAAATTTTATAAATATTACTTTATACTTTAAAAATATCTATTATAATGTGATTTGATACAAATTAAATTTTATATAGAATTATAGCTTATAAGCATGGAATAACTCAAATAAAGCTCAAATTAAATTATATTTATTTTCATTATCACTTATTAAGAGCACTATCATTATGAGTTTTCATTATCTTTGTTGACTAAAAATAATTAAAAATCATCCATATGTATATATCTTCTTGTCTCCCACGTGACCAAGTTGCATGTATGAGCTAGCTAGGCATAACAAAATCGTTATTAATAGCAAAAGAAGATGCCACACACACACACACACACATATATATATATAGATGACCAACGCCTTGTATCTATTATTTAATAGGAAAAATTGTAGAAATCCCACCTTTTAGTTTATTTATTACCATTATCCCCTATAAGTTTTACAAATCTCCAAAATCTCTCATTTTCGCGCATCAAATTAGTGTATCTCACGCATCAGATAGTGTATCATGTATAAAATGTACATCAGATTAGTGTATCTCGCACATCAGATTAGTGTATCTCGCGCATCAGATAGTGTATCATGTATAAAATGTACATCAGATTAGTGTATCTCGCACATCAGATTAGTGTATCTCGCGCATCAGATAGTGTATCATGTATAAAATGTACATCAGATTAGTGTATCTCGCACATCAGATTAGTGTATCTCGCGCATCAGATAGTGTATCATGTATAAAATGTACATCAGATTAGTGTATCTCGCACATCAGATTAGTGTATCTCGCGCATCAGATAGTGTATCATGTATAAAATGTACATCAGATTAGTGTATCTCGCACATCAGATTAGTGTATCTCGCGCATCAGATAGTGTATCATGTATAAAATGTACATCAGATTAGTGTATCTCGCACATCAGATTAGTGTATCTCGCGCATCAGATAGTGTATCATGTATAAAATGTACATCAGATTAGTGTATCTCGCACATCAGATTAGTGTATCTCGCGCATCAGATAGTGTATCATGTATAAAATGTACATCAGATTAGTGTATCTCGCACATCAGATTAGTGTATCATTGTATCTGTTTTGAGGGATTTCTGTAATTATAAACTTTAAGGGATATATTGTAATTTTGTCTTAAAAGTATGTGATTTCTGTAATTTGCCCAAATTAATACTACCTTAGTATCAATTTATGTGATACATTATCGATTTCGCGATTCAAGCAAATCTATTTTTTATCTAAATTTTTCATATATATTAAATATTTTGAATTGATAATTATTGTGACTTATATATAGTACTTTTTTCGTAGTTTACAAATATATTAATTTCATTTAAAAAAATTTAAAGATATCGCGAGCAAATTCTCGATCAAACTTAAATTATTTCACTTTCAAAAAACAAAATATGTCACAAAAATTAGAAGGAAGGGAATAATATTAATTTCTATGCATGGTAATCCTATAAAGTTATCTTCTTGTACATATGTGACCAAATTGCAACCTGAAATCCAATAAACCAAACCACAACATGCAGCTGTTTTGTAAAATCTGCTGGTTTTTAGATTTGTTAAAAAAGCAATGTATCATACAATGAATAGTTGTATACCTCTTTTATATATAATGACGCACTAAAAAACATTATATTGAAATGTCATGCATGCATGAATCTAGCTACAAGTTGTACCCAAGAATTTCAACTCTTTCTTTCGTAAGCCCACGTGGTACTAAAATCCGTTCTCTTTTTCGTTTTCCTTTTTAATCCGTCTAAAAAAAATAATTTTTTTTAATTTGACCCTCTTTGACACCTAGAGAATTAAAAGGGTCCTTGTGTGTGCTGGGGCGTAGCTAGAGCTATCTCAAGGTGTCCAACTGGACACCATTCATTGGAAAATTATATTGTGTATATATATGTTAAAATTTATATTTAAAGGATATATATTTATAATTTGGACATCCTTGACAAAAGTTATGTCTTTGGCATATTAGGTGTCCATTTGAACGAAGAAGTTCTGGGTTTGAACCTTAAATAATACAATATTTTTTTGTTTTATTTTGACAGTCACATACCATTATTCTTGGATATCCTTAGTAAAATTTATGACTCCCCTGTGTGTGTATTTTCTTTTGGTGGGGTAGGGGGTTGTACTTTTGGTGAGGGCCCAGTAGAACGTAAGCCTATATAAATTCTTTATGATGGTCCGATATAGGACTGTATATAGAAGAAAAAAGAAGAAAGGAAAATAATTAAGCACTACATTGTAGCTAGGCAACAATATTTAACAGGATCAAAGTTGATAAATTCTGCAAAAGATGGATGATTCTTGGAGAATATGCATAGTACATTTGCATGCAAGAATTGACATGTTTTTGGTATGTCTATTGAATATAACAAAACATGCATTTACAACTTATAATATAGTAGTACTTTTTCCATTTCTAACATTTTATTCTAGCTAACAAAACATGATCAAAGTTGATAACAAAACATGCATGCTTTCGAAGTAGTAATTAACGATGATGGTTTTTCTTATTACATCAAGCGAAAGGCAAAGAGCTCATCAAGTGAACTAGCCTTCAATCTCATCGAAGCATATGTGCATTCTTCTACATGTACAATTTATCTTTGAACTTGAAGTTTAATTTATTGTCAAAGCTTATGGTACAACTTAATATTAATTTTTTTTTTCAAAGTCTAATCTTGAAATCATTTTTTCAAGTGTAAGTCTACAAATGAAATCTAGAGAAGATGATCGATGATATATCCTCTTACTTTACAAAGGTAAAGATATTTTTTTCCTTCCATTTTAACCGTTCATTAAGTTCGGTTGAGTACTTTCACTATGGTGTTTCCTTAATTTCTTTCTGATTTTGACTTATTGAATTATTAGAAATATAATAATAAAGGCAGCCAATTACACATGTTTATTATTTTCCATTTGCATGTACATTCTGTTTTCCAAATATATATGTAGTTTAATCATGACTTTGTTTCAATTGAAACATATTTTAAATTTGTAATGCTTTTGAAATAAATAGATTTTTCTATGTTAAACAAATCTTAAACTACTTGAATCAGCTATAAACAAAAACTTCATTTCATTAATGGCATCTTTTCATGCTACCAAATCTTTTTCGTATCTATAATTTTTATTAGCCAGATTTTTTTTTCCATTTCTCTTCGAGTATGAATAAAGATGTAGAGGATAAGTAATATATAATTAATGTATATTTTCCTTTGTTTAATATGATTCAATGTTCGATAATTGCTTTGCTGATTAATCCAAATATTTTGTATTTCATAAGGCGATCTTTTCTATTCATAGGATTCAAACTTCACCACGTCCTATTTATCTCACCACATTTCTTGCTATATATTTTGATAAAAAAACATAGAATTTCATTTAGACCGAAATGGGAAAACAATTCTATGAAACATATTTTACTTCATTTTTTTGTGTAATTTATTTCACGATATTAAGTTACATGTGTTCGTTTTTTAAAACAATTGCTAATATAAATAAATTGAAAATTGTGCTATTTTACCGTGATTATTGGTAAGAGTTATGCAGAGATTGATTGTGTAGAGTTTATATATATTTGATTTTTGGTTACTAGTTAATGTTATGCATATATTAATATATTAATAGTGTAAGAATAAATAATATAGAAATCAGATATGCAAAAATTACAGTACATAAACTATATCTTTGGAATGGTTTGTTGTACTAGAAATTCATTTAAGTTTTAAAAATAAAATATTTAATTACCATTATAATATTTCGAGTGAAATATATCCAAGTTCACTGATTTTCTCTCTCAATTCTTGTCTAGCAATTAATTTTATACAAAGAAACTAAAAAAAAATACAAAATATAAAATTATGCTAATTCTTATTCGTAAATACCTTCTTCCTGACCAAACAACCCATAATTGATAAGAGACCTTTTTGTTATGTTCTATGTGTATTTTATATGTTAATTAATCATTATGATATATGTTTTAACTAGTGATTCACATTGTATAAAATATTATTGGATATATGTGAGCATTCTTGTGTATATACGGATACGGAAGTTAGTGGTATTTTATTTTATTTTATTATATGATATAGATACATGTGAATATTCAAATTGTATATCATGAATATTCTTGTGTATTTAGAATTTGGGAGTTTTCAGGATAAGCATAAGAAGCATCTATTTTGGATCCAAGTGTCAATCCCACTGTCTCCAGTTGACTGCAGGAAAAGCTTTTTTATACCACATGAGCTATGGTGCAGTGGTGACACTACTTCATTCTTAATCAGAGGTCTCGTGTTTGAGCCTTAGATGTGAAGAAAATCATGTTGGAAACGTCACCCCAAATGATCCTGCAATGCGCAATCCAAATTTAATCGGAGCTTTGCCAACTCCAAACATAAAAAAAAGAAAGAAAACTTCTCTACAACATATTCACCGCCTGCACACTCACAATCATCTTTTTTTTTTCATATAATTTTTAAATACTTATAATTGTTTTAAGAACTTTCTTTGTGTTATATAAAAATATTCTTATTATTTTCGATTTAAATCGTTTAAAAGTTATATAAAATATTATATCATCTATCGTCTAGCAATACAAAAACGTTTTTAATGATTAACTACTTCTATATTTCGTTACATTTTTTTTTGACATCTTTCTTATCTTCCCTCTCTATTATTCATTTATCGTTCTTGCACTTTTTCCTCTTTTAATTTATAATTCATGCGATATGATATGAGATATATGATTTTCAACGAAAGTTTGATGTATAAAATGCGATTAAAATGAGTTGAATAAATTTGAGAAAATGTATTCATTTAGACGAAATAGGTAAATTCAAGTATGAAATATGATCAAGTTTATATTAAGTTTTTTTCTTTTCCTCGCAAAAAGTTGATATATTGTGAAAAAGCAGGATATTCATGGTAATTTTTTTCTTAAGTGAATAATCAAATTTAATTTAATGCAAGATATATCTTTTTTTTTAATGAAATGTTCCTGAAAGTGTTTATAAGGTGGCAGTTTGCTTCAACTTTTTATTTTTTTGGGGGAAAAAAATAGGATTAGGATTTTCAAAAAAACATTATTTGAACCCATATTCAATTAAAAGAAAAAAGAAAAGAAAACATAAACCAAAAAGAAAGTTTTTGAGTCCTTCTACAGTCTAAATTGTGAACCGTATGATACAGTTATCATACACGTGGCTAACTAAGGGGTTGAAGTGAAAAAGGCATACAGTAAACCCGCGGCGCAGGATATTATTCCCACCCCTCCCCCGAAAGCCACCTTCAGTTGAAAATAATCAGAATAAGTTAGGAAGGAAATTCGACGGAGAAGAGGCTTAGCGATGGCCGGCGGAGACGTAAGGAAGGAAGAGAGTGACGGCTAATTTTTTGAATCGATTATCGTAAGTGCTTTTCCCGCGTTTTTTTTTTGGCCTGGAACAGTGGAGAGTTTCTGTATTTTTGATGATTTTTTTTGTTGCGTGTAATGTACTAATTATAGTGAGATTCATGTATATCTGCAATTTTGATTTTTTCTGTTCATATTTTGTTGAGAAGATTTGACCGTCAAAAGGGGAAAGAAGTCGAGCAATTGTTTTAGTAACTTCAAGTAGATGATTTTTGTTATAGTACTGAATATATGTTGGGATAATTTTGTTTAATACACTTAAAATTGCATCGTAAACTGTATTTCTAAGAAATATGGTGTTAATAGCTGAAGAAATTAGAAAATTCTTAGTTATATCAAGGAGGAAAATGAATACTTAAACTTACTTGAAAGTTGAAATACATTAATGTGCTGCGTTTTTGTTCGTCGAATTATTGAATGTCTTTGGCTTTTAACTGTTATCCATTATCCTCCTTGGAGAGTCTTTAACACCGGACAAATAAGGGTAGTTGTGATTAAACAATGATGTTGTTCAAATAATTGGAGAGTTGTCTAATTGCTCCAAATAAAGGAGGAAAATTTAATCTCCACACCTATCTGAATGGGGGAAAACAGAAATCTTGCCATCTCTAGATTAAATAATTGGGAAAATATGATGTTTTAATTACGAGATATGAGGATATGTTGTGCTTATTTCTAAGGAGATGATCTATTATTCTACGATGGAAACAGTACATTATTAGCTTGAATTATGTACTAACGATCACTAAATCTTAAATATCATGAGCTGACATAAGGAATTAATTGGAAGTAAATTGAAACAATTAAGATAAACAAAGTGCATGTGTTCATTTAGAGAAATATTAACAATTGATTCTGATTATGCATGGTGATAACCTTTTGGAAGTGGAAAATATTGCAAGTTTGTAAGTTGTACAAACTATATAAAATAACCAATTTAGTTAAAGAAATTCATATGTAAATGCCTGAAAATTTATTCCTTGATTTGCAACAATTTCAAGTTAGTTTGAAGGTGCTTTGGAATGAGTGGATAGTGTTGGAGGGAAAACAGCTTGGATGTCGAAACATAAGCCAAATCATATGTGAGCATTACCTCAGTCATGGAACTTGAGTTTGAAGGCATACTTCCTGTTGGCTTACGATGAAAACTTCTCAACAGAAAACCTGAAGTAATTTTAAAAAACGATATATTAATATCAGAGCTGTTGACTTTTTCAAAAATATCAGAGCTGTTTTGTTATGCTGGCTGCTTCTGTGCTATATAAACAAAATGTGGAAGGTCATTTTGATGTATATGGCTGCTTCTGTGCTATATAAACAAAACGTGGAAGGTGATTTTTGATGTATATGTATACAAACTAGATGTTTATGTTGGAACTTAGAACTTAATTCCACTTTGAAAATTATTTGAATTTTCCAGTTGCTGGCTTCTATCTGCTGAAGTATACGATGTTAGATAACTGAGGTAAATCACTGGACTTATTGAAGATCCTGATGCTGCGTCTTAATTTTGTTAATTAGTAGCTCAGTTGGTACAACCTTGGACTTTTTCACAGTCCTGATAATGCGTCATAAAGATCGCAAGTTCAAGTCCTGCTATACCGAGATGCAAAAGTTATGGATCCTTATATTCTTATTTTTCACAGTAAATCCCCCTAGCGTGAAGAAAGGAGAGCCTCTCTCAAGTGATATTAGTAGGGAGAGGCATAATAACTGAAAAACTGGACCAAATTAATTCATTTCTTCGGTTTCGGTATTAAATTTTTTAAGACTTTGGTGTTCGGTTCTCGGTTTTTGGGTCCTTAACTGAAGAACTGAAATTTTGTGGAGCTTCAGTGTAGAATACTGCAGCGACCTTTCAGTGAACCATATCTCTAGGCATATATTCCCCTAATTATACTTGTATGTCCATGTTTATCAACATTTTGATGATATATAGTACAAGCTCACTTAAAGATTTTTTCTTCCCTCAAACTCAACTTCTAATGCTGATCTAAATATATCAGTGATCGCTCAAGAGACATGTATTTAAGAACAGAGGATTTTCATTATTAAATGGAAACTTTGAACAAGAGTTGTTGATACATTCAATCTTATTCTTAAAAAATAGAAACAATAAAGAATAAGAAGAGCAAAAGTTGGACACTGCTATGAAAGATTGAATGTAGGGAATAAAGACCAGTTTCTTTATAAGACAATAACAACGTGTGTACATAAGTGATGCTGCACACACCATCTCTAGCCCAGTTTCTACACAGTCTACCTCCGTTGATGGTGGTTTCTCTTCAACCCAGATTTAGTGAACCTTGGGTTTGCAGTAAGAAGTACTTATCAAGCGCATACCGAAGAACCGAACCGAATTAGAAAAAAACCGAACTGAATCGAACTAGTTCTGTTCGGAATTCAGTATGCACCAGTGAAGAACCAAACACCCACCCTTAGATATTGGCACAAAGTACATAGAAAAAATGGCTACTGGTTATACACCTTAGGATTTTAGCACAGATTATCTGCTGTCCGTGGACTATATATAATCATCATGGATTTATTTTTAATTTATCTATGTACTTTACCTGCACAATATCTTCTCCAGAAATGAAGTCAAGGAAATCACTGAATCCTCCTTCGTTATAGGACAATATATGTTGTTCATCGACAAGAGCTGGGGCAGGTCTAACTTTTTTACCTAAAGCTAGACTGTGAAGACTGGCAATGGAAAGGCGCTTTTTCTCTGAGTTAACTGCTGCTCGGTGGACAACACCTGTGTATTGACCATTGCTCAAGACTTCCATGTGATCTCCCACCAGAGCAATGAGGCCTCCTTCAATGACTGGAACCGAATGCCACTTTTCATCTCGATCCATGATTTGCAAGCCCTGATGATTTTGAAGAATGATGGATAGCAAAGAATAATCTGTGTGTGGTGGCAAGCCTAGTGCAAGATCCGGCTCAGGACATGCTGGATAGCAATTAACGGCAATGACCTGGGAGCCTTTTGCAATGTCTTCATGTAAGTAATCGGGGTTTAGTTCTAAGCTCTCAAATATTACTTCCATGATTTCTTCTTGCAACTTTTGTACTGCCTTTGTGTAATTTCCCATTTTCTCCCTGCATGATGAGCTGCTTTAGGCTTTTGAAATTATATTCTTCTTGAACATTTAGAATATATGTATATCAGAAATATTTCAGAGATAAACATATTCACTTAAGAATACAAGACTCACTTGTAAAATGTGGGGTTTGATGGCCACAAATCTATCCAATTTGAGATTGGATTAGCATAGTGCTTGAGGAAGTCTCTCCAAAAGGATACTTTGTCTTTGTCATCATTTAGACTGGTACTATACCTTACGGGGTCATGAACATTTGAAGACAAGAGATGCAGTTTTTCTTCACTTGGTAAATCGAAGAACTCAATCGCATTATCTAATGCATCTTTCATGACTGACAATGGAATTCCATGGTTGACTACCTGCACACAGTCATTTATTGCATGCATGCTGTTATTCTACGTCCAGGTTGAATTAGTAAAGAACTTCTTATTCTCTTTCCTTTTAAACTGCTAAGTATATGAAATCTAGGACGTCATCAACTGAAAATAAAGGGAAGAGAGAAGGAGATAAAGGCCAGAACATTTTTTATTTACTTGGTGAGTGTATATTGTTATCTCTTAAATGGTATCAGCATGAAGAAACTTTACGTACCTGGAAAAAACCTAGTTCCTTGCAGGCCAGGTATACTTGCTGGATTATCTGAGGCCGAAGAAGAGGGTGTTGCAGTAAGGATAGATCCACAATTGGCAAGCATGTGTTGGAGTTGGACAAGGTTCCGTTGGGGCGTAGGGATGATGGAACGATGTAACGTTTGGGAATACAGGTTAGTCCCTCTTCAGTAAGTGTCATGGCACTTGTAAATGAATCATTTGGTGTAGCTGAGCTCTTATCCATTTTGTTGTGTTTCAAATATGACTTGGACTCGCTATTTATATAACAGGAAAATATGAAGATATAATTATATTTTCCTTTTAAAAGTTTACTTATTTTGTTATACAATGAATATGTGTAGGAATTTGATGATACCATGACTATAAGCAATGAAAAGTATGCCTTATTGTATGCTCATAATAAATGAATTATTGTATAATAGCACTATTGTTATAAATGAAGGCAGGAAAATCTTAGATGATTTTCACAAGTTGATCCAGAATGTAGGGGGGGGGGGGGGGGGAAAAAAAAAAAAAAAAAAAAAAAAAGGGGAGGGAGGGGTAGCTTGAATGTAGGGGTGGAAGATGAAGTAGAATTTAAAATGAAATTAAAATTAAAGTAATAAAATTA